CTGATTACTTTTTAATCTGATTGTGTGCTGTTGGAACCTAGTGGTCAAGAAAAACTAGATGGTGAACACTACTGTTCACTCCAGGTATATACATACTGCTTCCATGGCACTCCCTGCCTATTAAGAGCTGAAAGAAGTAGAGGCAGGGGCCAGGCTCACATCGGCTTTTATCTATCAGCAACCATATATTAAGATGCACACAAGAGCAATGGTAATAGAGAAAGCATCAGCACATTTAAAGGAATGTATGCGTTTGAGTGTAGCTTAATGGACATCATGCTTGCATAAGTACTAGTACCTGAACCAGAGCTAGGCTCGGCATGCACCTCCCACAAGGTTTGAATGTGCTGGGTTCAGCCACCTCCTCTGAGTGTATCCAGCTCTCTTTAGAGTAAACCCTGGTCAGTCATGTTAAATGGCTGCTAACTAAACACCACCTGAACATACACACCTTTCTTATAAGATCTTACATTTAAGAATTGTTTCCTTTATGGGGGATGTACACTGAGATTCCAGCGTTTAGCCCTCATTTCATAACAAAATGGCAAGACAACAAATGGTGCATCTTCAGGGAGAAACGAGGATATCACTTTGTATGGAAAAGCACATCTTACTGTCACCAGTCAACCAAGAAGCAGCATCCAAAGGAAGGAACGAAGCCAGGTTCCCCACAGGTGCTGACAAGAAACATACAGAAGGCAAAAAAAAATTCAATCCGATTTTGACCCCCCCCAAAAATAGCCAATACTCACGTCTCAAGTTTCACAGGGGCTCTGCAAAGAGAGTAAAAGAGGAAACGAACATCAAACTGGTGCAGGTTGAATCAGAGCAGATGATGTGTCTGTTGTGAAACAAAAAGCTGGATGCATCTAAGTGGATCGTTAAGTTTTCTCATGTTTATTCCCTGAGCAACTGCTCCAATATACATGTTTACACAAAACAATGACTAGGCCCAGACTGTTCAGCTTTGCAATACAGACAGAGTATAGTTCTGAAAAGTAGACTGGTTAGAAGGCAAAGATTAGGTACTTTGAAGGCAAGTCAGAAACGAAGTATTCATTCCTCTTATATTGCACGTGAGGCCTGACAGTTAACACACACATGAGGGTGGGTGCACCAAAGTCACTGCTGCTTGAAGAAAGCAGTACTTAGACACTGCTTCTTCCAAAGGTGGAGATTATCAGCTCTCTTTACTGGTCCTGCATTTAGGACTTGAGTAACCCTTCTTTCTCCCCAAGCTCAGGGCTTTCCCATTTTTCTCTATCTGTTATTTATCTTTGAAAAGCTTCAAGGACAACATTTCCACACCCCACCCCACCACCTTCCCCACCTTAGGAAGAAGGAATTAGATTCCCCTCACTGAATAAAAGTCATTTTAATAGCAGCCCTCGTGTCAGCTCCCATTTGATCTTCGAAGATCATTAAGGCTGAGAGCAGGCAAGGCTTGGAAAAAGTTGGGCAAGTCTTGCAGAAAACCTGCAGAGGTGCTATCAAACTTACAGAGCATGCCCAGCTGTTTGACATTTGTACAGTTGTTGGAGGAAGATGTTGCAAAATGAGGAATATGACTGAACTCACGCACACTAGAAATCCAGAACAAAGAAGTCCGATTCTGTCTGCTTACCTAAAGTAACCCGTCTTCCAATTTATGCATGTAAGAGCTGAACTGGACTCAAGATCTCTCCTTCAATGCACGACCAATTCTGATCTCATGTTAGCTTTTTATTGGTGTAAAAACTGGGCTAGACAGAGGCCTATTTGCCCATGTATAGCATGTTCATTAGGGAAAGCTTATTTGGAAACTCAAACAGCATTCTTGCCAGTGATCTTGTCTTCTATTACCTTGGAGTGCTAGGTGGAGCTGGCTCATAAGCAGTTCTTTTCCTTTCAAAAAATCCCTCCCCTAGTGTCACATAGAGATGTTCTTTACTCCGAGTAAACTTGTAGCCCGGTGAGATTTCTACAAACTCCGCTGAAGCCTAGGAGCCAAAAGAAAAAGACCTTTAAACTCAGAAAATCTAGTATCTAGAAACTTAGCTCCATTAAAGAAGTATTTTAAATGAAGCAAGACGTCCTTAAGACTACTCCAATTGCCAGCATTAAAGAACACAGACTGATACTGGCAGCAAACAATGTTCCAGGCAATATAACCATGGGAAGGGTCCTCACATAGGGCATAGACAGATTCCCAAATTCCCTGGTATAATTTACATCCATTTCTACATCAATTTAAATTACATTAGGACCAGGGACAGCTGAACACAGACGCATTGATAGTTGGACAGAGTAGGCAGCTATTACTGTGCCATGCCATTAGGTGGCAGGGAAACAGGTCCCTATAAGAGAACTATGCTGAGATGGCTGCACAGAGTCATCTAGAGAAGAATAACTTACACTGGTTGATTTTTACTCCTGATTCTTTCAGAGATAATTTTACGCTGTTCACATTGTCTACCTATTATTTTTTTATGCTGGTAAAACATCAACTAAAACACTACCTGAGTTAGCACTTGCACTAAAAGGAAAGAGCATCATGTGCCAAATCAAGCACCTTCCATGATGCGATATAAGATGCAGACTCCTGTACAATTTAAACAGACAATTATGGAGTAGGACTAGCACTGAATTGAATGGAACAAGGATATCAGTGCAATGATACATACAGCAGGCAGTTGCATTTTGCATTAGCTGAAGCTTCAAAAGGATCTTGAACCACAGTGCTAAGAGTGCATTACAGCAGTCCAGGCAGGAGGCAACAAAGGAGTAGCTGACAATCATAAGTCCACATTAAACTGAAGGATATCATTTACCAACTAGAATAAAAAGTGTGGGGGCTGGGGCCCAAAGTCCTACAGCACCAGACCATGAACTAGTTCACCCAGAAGAAACCATAGCCCTTCTTTCTGAATCGAAGCACAACTCTTCTAGGAGGTCCCAAACAGCTCATACCACCATTTTTGCACATTCAGGGCCATCATAGTGAGCTTGCTTTCAGCTAGGGTTCCTATCTGGCTAGACAGAAGAGGGGCAGTATAGTATAACATCTTAAATTTACCTCAACTCTTAAATCCAGAATTCCTGTGTGACTTCAAGTCACACAAAAGGTCATGGAGCCTTTTAAAGCTACTTCACATTTCTACCGGATTTAAAGGGATGCAGTAATATTGTTTTATTTTCAATCCCCTGTTTTTCTTCTCTGAAAGATGTGTATTTGTGTGCCTACAATGGAACATGGTTGCTAACATCCTGCTGAAGACCTGCTCTTCAGATTCCTAACCTGGACTACTTAACAATCAGAGACCAAACTGATTACAGAAGATCCAGCCCAAGTTGTGTCCCTCAGATGGACCAAATATAGCAGCTTCTAAATTCAGATCAATATTTTGCTTCAAGAATCTTTTCATTAGTTCAAGAAATTACTTTGTGCACTAAATTTAGGACCGGAGTTTAGACCCTTGAAAACTAGAACATATTTGAGGAGCAGTAATGGAAAAACAGAAATCCAGACTCTTGGCTCCTAGGTTAGGATCTTTTTATCCTTCTACAGTTAATATTACTATTTTACTTACATCAGGAGGTTCTCTGCGACGTTGTTGAGACCCATCTTTTTTAGTGGAGAATATTTTCCTACAAATAAAGAAAACTTGCTCAAAGAATTGCAGACAGCATAAAAAATTGTTCAGAGAAAGCACTGCTTCATTTCAAGCATTATAAGTATGAGCATGCAGCTGAAACCGCTTTTGTGGGCTGTCAGGATGGTGCAGGAAGTCACAGTTCTCATGGCATAGAGAGAAAGTTGGTGGGCAGAGATGCACAAACCTCCTTGGGGTATTCCAAGTTTCTACAGCAAATTGGATTCCATTTGACTGAGCGCTTGTGCTATTGGTGAAAACCAGAGAGGGATGAGGTACAGGCTTGTGAATCTCTCATGTCTTTCTTTCAAAACCATCACCATGAAAAGCACTGGAGTCTATAGATTAGACAGCACTAGAGGAGAATAACAGAGATTCAGGGAGCTTAAAAGGCCAAAGGAAACCTTTTCTTAAAATTGCTCAGTGCAGAAGATGCTCTACATTAAAAACTGCAAGTTCTTTTGGTACCCTACCCTGCATAAAGAGAAACTACTAAGTAGGAAGAAAGAGAGCTTAAAAGGTACTGCTGAAAGGTTGTGAGATAGGAATATTAAAACCCATGACCAGATGGCATGCTGCTCCTTCAGATTTAAGATGTTAAGTGACTGTACTTAGCTTTGGCTGTATCTGCTTCTTTCCCAAACTGAAAAATGGCACATAATACCATAACAGCTTGTTTGAAATCAATCCCAGCTATACAGTTTGTCCAATTACTTAAGACCGTGTACATTATTGTGTAATTAAAGAGCTCCAAACTTTAGTTCTGCCATATACCTTACATGTTTGCACAATACAACCAGCTACATTTTTTGAGGATATTAGTGCTATATCTTATGCAAAACCATTGCTCATAACAAGAATGGGATTCAAAAATCAAGCAACAATTCCCCCAGGAGATAAACATGGCATGCAAAGACTGACAAGACTCCACATTTGTAAATGGTGTCAGGTCTTTGGACATCTAGGCTAGGGACAGACATTCAAAAAGCCTGAGCCTGAATTGATTCAACCTTTGCAGGTTAGTCTAACCTTCCTAGGCTTAACTAGTTTGTAACAGGACAAACATTTGCTCTGGACTGAGGCAATGCAGGCACATGCCTGCAGTAGCTCAGGCCAGGAGCTGGGGGCACTAGAGCAGGCCCTCCCTGCAGGGAAGATGGGGTGGGGAAGGTGGCCAGTCCCAGCTGAATTGGCCAGGGAGGGGTTTAGTTCCCCCTCTCTATCCCACTGGCAGGGACCCAAGCCAGGTCTGCCCGGCGCTCCCCACTCAGTGCTGCGGGGGGGCAGGGGGGGTAGGAGGAGAGGCAGATATTTAGTCTTCCCTCTACTGGAAGGAAGGGTCTGCCCACCCTCCCTGCCATGTTCCCTTCTCCCTCCCAGGGACCTTGGCTGGCTGTGCCCCCGCCCCACCGCTGCAGCAGGAAGGGGCAGGGCCCTTACTGGGGGAAGCAGCCCGTCATAATTCATAGATGCTAGGGTCGGAAGGGACCCCAACAGATCATCGAGTCCGACCCCCTGCCTTGGCAGGAAAGAGGGCTGGGGGCAGATGATCCCAGCCAGATTCCTTCTAAAAGACCCCCAAGGTAGGGGAGAGCACCACCTCCCTTGGAAGCCCATTCCAAATTTTGGCCACCCTTACTGTGAAGAAGTTTTTCCTGATATCTAGCCTAAATCTGCTCTCAGTTAGATGTGGGGGAGTAGGCCCCTTCCCGGCAGGGGTGCTGCACTGTAGGGCTGGCAGAGCTGCGGCAGCACCGGGGTCCAGAGCAGATCAGGGCCTGGCAAACCCCCTGCAGTGGTGCCACACTCCCTAGCAGCTCTGCTGGCCCTGCAAAGTGGCCCTTGCTGGGAAGGGTCTCATGCCCATCTCCATCACTCACTCACTCACTGCTTGCCGCTCCAGTTGCTGGGCAGGGGTTGGGTCTGGCCCCCGCCACTTGGTCTGTGTTCAGGGCAAGCCTCGCTTGGGCAGGAGAAGGCTTATTGAGCCACTGGCCTTGACCACAGGCCCAGCAGCGGTTGCAGCCGAGCCAGGCAGACCCTGATGTGGTGCTAGCAGCCAGTGTCCAAATAAGCCTCCTCCTGCCGGGAGGGGGCTAGTCTAAGCACAAAATGGCAGCCGGGCTGGGCAGCCCCACTGTAATGCCAGTGGCCACTCAGTGCTTGGGGCAAACCCCCTCTGGGCAGAAGAAGACTTATTCAAACACTGGCCTGGAGCACAGAGCAGTGGCTGCAGCCGGGCCGGGCAGTCCCTGCTACAATGCCAGTGCCGCTCTGTGCTTGGGGCAAGCCCCCTCTGGGCAGCAGGAGGCTTATTCAGCTGCTGGAACTGCATTGAGGTCTGCCGGCACAGCTGCAGCTGCCACTTGGCCTGTGCTTGGGGCCAGTGGCTGAAACAGCCTCCTCCTCCCAGGAGGGGGCTGGCCCGGCACAGAGCAGCGGGTGCAGCCATGCCCGGCAGACTCCAATGTGGTGCCAGTGGCCAGCAGCAAGCATTTGAATAAACCAGCATCTGCCTGCTGGGCCTGCTCTGCCTGGGGAGCCGAGGGGTGGGGCCAGCCTGGCTGGGCTGGAGCAGAGAGCCGAGCCCAGGGAGCATGCCTGGATGCTGGGGGTCTCTGGTTTAGCTTAAACCAACAAAGGGTCTGGGACAGACGTTCTATAAACCAGTTTGAGTCAAATTGGTTAAGTCTTTCAACCAGGTTTATTTCAAACCGGTTTCGGCCATTTTCAAACTGGCTGACTTGCACTGAACATCTGTTCTGTTACAGATTTAAACCAGTTTCTGAGTAATGTGTGTCCCTAGCCCTAAAGAGTTTGGGTTTCTGCAGGAGTTTGTTAACAGAGAAATCTTAGCCACTATAAAATGCTAGAAAATTATTGCATCTTTTATACTTTAAACCTTCAATTTTTCCCTCCCAAGAGAAAAAATACTCACTTTGGTATGTTGGGAGGTTGTACAGGAGATGGGAGATTATTATGGTCTTTTAAAATCACACCTAGTGGAGAGGACCTGATTAAAAAATATAAACAGTATTTAGAAGTATTTATGCTATGGACACATCTATCTTATTAGGCAAAACATCGAAAACAAAATGGTTCAAAATTTTTCACTGAAGAATAAAAATGCTTTGAAAGAGACATGGGCATAGCGGCAAATCTTTCCTGGACTAGGGAAACAAACCAGCAGCTTACTGGTGCCCTCCCTCTTAGATTCACCAAAATATGACAGATGTTACTGCATAACACTCATTCACTTAATGTGTAAAATTTATTTTGACACAGAAGCAAACTATGTTAGTTGTATAAGACTTGCCTATAGAAACTGTAACATAAATCAATCAATCAACCAACCAACCAATCAATCTTTCTGCATCTACAAATAACCTAAAAGGTGTCCTGCTTACCTTGGTCTCAGATTCTGTAAGCCTTGTTTGGCCTTTAGAAGTCTTTTACTCTTCACATTTCCAGGGTCCCAACAGGCACAACGTGAAGAGACAGAGTGAGACATGTCTGCAATTTCAGGAATCTTGACTAGTTAAACAATTCTAGGAAAGTTGAAGAAGTATAAATTTATAAGCATTTACTAGATTTGGTATATTTTGCATATCAAATAAAACATTTTATCATCTTATTATGGAGAATAACCCACCTACTCTAAGGACAAATGGTGAAGGCTGAATCTAGCCAGTGCATATGCACATGCATAGGTGGATCTAGGGTTTTGAAAAGGGAAGTGCAGATAGTGTGGTGAATCATCACATACAACACAACTTGTTTCTGTCCAGTTAGAAAGACATTAGAAGCTTTACTACTAAGCTAGGGACCTAGAGGTATATTATTCAGTTTAAGATAGAAGCAAAAACACATATAACTATTGGAATGTGCATTCATTCACTATAGCATATTATGTATCATTAGTGCAGTCACTATAATTCAGTGTACGTCTCCCTCTCAGATTCATAAAACAAAGTCTAGCTTTCTCAATCAGCGCTTCACTGAAAGTTATTTCCATACCTGAGTTGGTACTTTTAGCTGGAGCTAAAAAACAGTCTGCAGGACTGTGAAATATAAACTACATTACCAGGAGCAGCTACCAGACAGCAGAATTGCAGAAGAGATGGTTTGATTAGTGGAACACCATTGAAAAGGAGAGAGGGGTCATTAACACCTGTGGGATTATGGTAAGAGTTTAGAAGAAGCTGGGTAGATTATAATGGCTACCTAACTAGAAATGCTGTTGCCACTGCCAGGCAGTTGGTTTTAAACTTTGGGTGGAGCAGGAATCAAAGTGGGGTGCAACCAGGGCTCAAATGATGGTGGAGCTTGGGGGGGGAGGGGGAAGCCCTGCCATAAGAGATGAGCCCCTCTGTAAGATTTGAAAATCGTAACTGGGGGGGTGGGGCGTGTGTCAGAATCCATAAGTAATAACGAATTTATTCTTATTTCAGATCCTTTGACAAATGAAAAATGACTACTGTAGGCAAGAAGGTAAACTGTCCTATGGCTAGCAGAATTGAAGACCATATCAGCTGTGAGAGGAAAATGGTGGTTATGTTGAAGTCTAGCATTGTGTACTCTAGTTGTCCTAAAACTTTAATAAATTTGCTTTTAAATGCCGTTTACAGATTGTTTCCATCATACCTGCAACCTAAGTTGTTAAAGTTTAAAAGTGCACAAGGACTTTATGAAGACCCTGTATTATTGTTTAAATATGACTTGCATATTTTAAAGAATGACAATAGCTCTTGTCATAGGTCAGAGAGGCCAATGCTATTGTGGGCTATGCACAGGTATTATACAATGGGGCACCAGAAATAGGTCTACTGCATGTATCTTTGGTATTTCACTGCTATAAGCTCTGCAGGGAGCCACATTACCAGTGTAACTATAGGCCACGTGTGGAACCGCTGGCACCCAGTGTACCTAAGTAGCCACCCATGACACTCTCAAAGGATCCCAATAGCTGATGGGTTTTCATACCCATTCCTCCAACTGCTTTCAACAGTATGCTCCTTCCCAGGCCCTTTGCTCCCTGTCCCTGTGACACATCACTCAATTGGTGTGAAACCTTCCCTGGGTGGCCGCCTGCCACCTTCCTGCTGCCAGACCTCCCTTGCTGATTTACCAGTCTCTGCGGCCCTCCCCCTTTGAATGCCACGTTTACCATGGCTGCTAGAGGGAAATCAAGGGCATAATGAGGATCATCAAGGGGACTGAGGAAAATTAAAATACCTAGACCAGTTTGATAGACTTACCTAAAGGAGGATTTAAAAGACAGAACAGGTCATGTTAACTACCTACAAATAGGGTGAAAACAGGGGGGAGAAAAAAAAAAAAGGAATCAACTGGCAGGTATAACAGGGAGTGATGGAATCAAAATAAGAGATAGAAAACTTATGCAAGCTATCAAGAAGAGATTTCTAGCTGTGCAGTGGAGGCAACAGGAAAGCAGCATCCGAGTGTTTACAGGAAACATGAAGAAAGCCCATATGAAAAAGTAAGTTTCAAGTTCTTTAGTTGCTAATATGCAAAACACAAATGGCACTAAACTACACACTTTCTTTTTTAAATCTGAATGAGAAACACCAGAGGTGGAAAGACACACATTTTGAGACACTTACTCTCCAAAAGCAGCTGGCTTACGTCTCAGGGTTCAGACATTTTAGAAGACTGGGAATCCCCTGAAGTTTATTTTAAAAAGAAAGAGCATGGTTTCTTTGTAGATATTATTTCTTCTTAAGATTTCCCCTTCTTCCCAACAAGGTCAGTTTCCCATGTCACCATGGAAACAGAACAGCACAACTTCACTGGCTGCTAATGTTCATTCCGACTTAAAGAGAGCGCGCGCACATTCACAGACGTGTAGGGCTGGAAGACACCACGACACCCCGTGAGATCATCGGGTCCAGCCCTCCTGCTCTGGGCAAGAAAGACTGCTGGGGTCAAAAAACTCCAGTGAGGTCCACGCCTAGTCTTCTTTTGAAGATTGGGTGCCTGCACCACCCCCGCTGGGAGTCAATTCCAGAGTCTGGTCACACAACCCATGAAGAAGTTTTTCCTTATATCCAGTCTGAAACCTTCTTCTAGGAGTTTATGACCATTGCTCCTGGTTTTCGCCTGGGGTCATTGGCAATGCATAGGGGGTGTGTGGGTAAAAGTGCACCCCCTGTGAAAAGGCACCACCATCAAAAGTGCTTGCAGGCAGTCGCTACTTCCGCCCCCCCTCCGCTGACACCGCTGGTGAGCGGTTTGCGATCGCCACAGGCTGCTGCCAACACTGCCAGCAGCGTCTGCAGGTGGTCGCCAGTCAACACTCTCCCCCCACCCCCAACAGCACCATGGCTGCCTGCGGGAGCTCTCTGCTTGCTGCCAGCAGGCGCTTGCGATGCCCCTGCAGCCTCCAAGGGCATGCAGCATTCATGCCTGGGGTGCTTTGTTGAATAGTTGTTTGCCTAGCCCCCGATATATTTGTAAGCTACCACCAAATTCCCCAAAAGTCTTCTCTTTTCTAGGCTGGACAGTCAATTATCTGTCAGTCTTTCCTCATATGGCTTGCTCTTCAGGCCTCTAATCATATGAGTGGCTTTTCTCTGGACTCTCAAGCTTCTCCATATCCTTGAAGTGTGGCGCTCAGAACTAGCAGTACTCCAGCTGCAGCCTCACCAATGCCCATGTCCTATTGTTAATAGCCCTTTCACACCAACCTTTCTGAAATTACTGGAAGTTTCAAAAAGAACACATACTGTAGGAAACAGGAGCAGAAAGATGAATAAATTCAAGGCTTCAGAAAAGAACAATGATTTAAGATGTTTTAATTCAGATGAAAGATTCTGGATTGATCATCATAGATGTTCATGGCTTCTGTTTAGCAAATAAACCAGTGTGGGACAGCCATGAGTTTATGCAAACATCCTTATTTTGGCCTATTGGTGCTTCATTTTTACAATAGGGACACATTTTCCTTAAGAATCAAACTGAAACCATCTATTTTTTTAATGGATTTGTAAATAACCTTCAAGTGGTCACAGCTCTTGGACAAAAACACTTGTTCACCCTTCTTTCCTATACTGGCAATATATTTAGATTGCTTCAATATCATAAGGTAAATACAAAATCCTGGTAGTCCTTGGCTGACTCTTTCAGCCAATGCATCTTACCCATATGCACTGCAGAAATGACCATATGGAGTGTCAAGGTCTCATTCAAGCATCTCAACACAGCATTCAGTAGCTCCTTCAAAATCTGGGCCAGGAGTTGTTGGATTGTCAACTCTGGATCTGCAGGAATCCATTTATTCACCTCAACCAGAGAAGCAGCAACATCTGAGTGAAGGGGAGGATGTAGATCACTAAGACAAGACGTTCAGAGCAGATGTTTTATTTTCTCCATGTAAGGTAGCCATTCCTTTAGTTCCAAGATCACCTGCAAGGCTTTTTTTTTTTTTTTTTTTTTGGGGGGGGGGGGGGGAGAGCTTTTAGAGCTTTTTAAATAAATGAATGATTTTCTTGGTGATCCAAGAAAAGACAAAGAAACTTAATGTAATACAGTCAATTGTTCAAAGTAAAGGCATTTTGGAGCTACTGTGGGCTACGTCAATATCTGTTGATGCCATTTTAATAGTGCTGATCTCAAGGGGATATTTTGAGTAGGGGTGAGTGTGTTTATATTCTCTATCTGAACCATCCTCCGTCCAGTAAATGAAAAGAATAAAAGCTAACGATAAAATCCTAAAGGATAAAAAAAACAAACCCCAAAAGATGGACAAAACCTGGCAATTTAGGAGAAGAAATCATCAAATTATGCTGCAACAGACCAATGGCCTTACAGGCAATATAGGACGATTAACCTTAAGTTTAAAGGGTTAAATGTTAAATTCAGATTCAGGTCATGACATACATAGGTTTTATAACTTGAGCGCCTCAGATCAGCCAGGAAAAAATGGAAGTCCCAGTAGGTTAAGCCTGTAACCATTTCTACTGGCAGAAACAATAATGCAATTACAGTGAGAGCCTACTAGGTAGGGCTGTGCGAAGCTTTGGTAGCCAATTCAATTTGGAGGAGGTTCAATCTGATTTGGCAGCCAGATCTCCGAATTGGGAGACCAGTGAAAAGGTCTGAATCAAATTGGAAGCCTCCAAATTGATTTGGAAAAGATTTGGTGCTGCTTTGGAGATTCAGTCATAGACTAAACAGGAAGCAGTCTTCACCATGCTGGACACAGCTGCCTCCAGCTGGTAAACCTGTTGTGGTGGGTGGAGCAGGGAGGAAAGGAGCATGGGGGAGGGAGGGATTTGGACTGGGACAAGCTACCCAGCCCGTGCAGGAGGTGCAGGACTTGGGGAGGGGTTAGAGGGGGTGTGGGATGTGGGTGCACAGCACTGGGAGTGGGGGCTATGCCTTGCTGCCGCTTGCCCCCTTCTGCAAGCCACGCCTGAATTCCCCCTCCCCCACCCCTTGGGCTGGGCATGCTGCCACTGCTTGCCCAGCCAGGGCAGGGGGTGTGTGGGAAAGCACGATGCAGGCGGTGCTTACATCCCACGCCCCCACACCCTAGCTGGGCAAGCAGCAGCAGCACCTGTATCCTGCACCCCCTCTGCCTTGCTACCACTTGCCCAGCTGGGGGGGAGGGGCACGATGTAGACGTGGCTCACTCAGGGTGGAAGGGGACAAGCGGCAGCAGGGCAGAGCTCCTGCTCCCAGCACTACTGTGCCCACATCCCACGCCCTCCCCCATCTGCTGCTTTGCTTTTTCTGCTCTCTGGCACTTTAAATTTAATACCTGCCAGGGCTCCCAATAGACCCAAGCAGTGGTTGGGGCTGCTCTGTTTATGGCCTTAGGAGGGGGAGCACGAGGGCATGCAGGGCCCCTGCACATCTCTGACTAGACACTCTCACAAATGCATTCTAAACTCCTATATGGAGGGTGCATACATGAAGGGGATCCACACACAGATATCAAGAAGAGAGAGGAAGGAATTGCCAATCATCAAAATAATTTAGTTTCATTTTTTTCTCCCATTCTGACAGATATTTAGTACAATTCATATCATGATGGCAAGTACCAGGAAGAAAGGAGTAAAAATATTGATTACATCCCTTTCTATAAAAGGCCAAGCAGAAACTGGGGAGATTTGCTCTACAGAGAAAGCTGGCTGGGTTTATACAAGTATGAGGGAGAGAAGTCTAAAGTCTCCCTTTGCTTCTTGATAGGTTTCACCCTACTGCTAAGTGCTCTTAGTAGCTGCAAGATGAACAAACAAGCAAGTACAAGAAAACATTAAGCAGGTGTCAAAGTACCCATCTTTAATAGTATAATAAAATGTCTGGAATAAACCACACCATATAGCCAATGTAATGTAAAAAGGCATGTTATACATATTTATTATCAAATTTTACATTCCACTATAAAACAAATATTTAAGTGCAAAAAGCAGATGAACAAAAACCCCTTGTATTTGTAGATCCCAAAGTGTGCACAAACATCCTGTGCAACTAAACAGGATTCAGACCTCAAACCTTTGCGCTTCTGTATGCTGTTTTCATTACAGTTGATTTTCTTCTAACACATCCCATTTTACCAACTCTATGTATTAACATCATACAGGTTTGTAAGAGGTTTACACCAAAGAAGTCCACCTAGGAAGACTCAACAGCCCTCAGTTAAATGTGTACTTTACCAAAGTATACATAAAAACATGAATAAGGCCAACACTGCAGGAACCCCATTCACTTGCACCTTCTGAGGGTCTTCCATAATAAAAGCAATGGCTAACTTCCTTTTACTACTTGTACCTCCAATTTTTGTTCCACCCTGCAGTTTGTGGCTATAGGGCCACTCTCAAATGTAGTTATTACTCAGTGTCTAAGACACCCTGAATTTATCAAGACCCTTTTACTGAAGCTTAGCTTTCTCAATCCTGCAAATGCATAGTCCCTGCTGCGATGCAGACAAACTGATCATTTTTTTTGAAACACCAGCAACTAAATATGCTATCATCAACAAGAAAGCCATTCTCTAAAAGCTGCCTTCTCAGATTTGGCACAAGCCTTTGCTACATCCTCCAAGTTTAATTTTCCCTGACACTGAAAATTAGACACAAAACATACATGAGTATCCATGATGTAAATTTGCAAGATAAAGCTTCAACAGTATTGCACCAAAGCTTTGACTCAATGGATAATAACAAATCCCACACTTCTGTACATGCTCTGCTTTCATTGCCTTCCTGCTTTAGGCAGGTATTTCATGACAAACTGTTTTACAAACACTTTATTAGACATCTCCATACCATGGATTGGACCACACCAGATTATACTTTTCTTGGCTGAAATATCCTGACACTCAAATCAAAACAACTTTTAAAAAGGCTTCACTCCATTTGGACAAACATGTGTTTAAATTATTGTACTTTTAAATTAACTCTGACAGAAATGTGGTCTGTGAAAGTCTAAATTAGCTGATTTGCTTTTTATGCTGATAATATGCATATGAAGCAAACATCTGTAGCAATTCTAAGCAAATCTGCTTAGAAATACACACATTAATTCTAAATTATTTAATACATTTAAAAAGCTCGTTGCCATTTAGTTATTTCTATAATAAATGTACATAAACTGGACATTAAACTTGGGACACTACGGTCTTCTCTGGATATACAAGACTGTCTGACTTGTCTACTACTTCATCACTTTGTTTCCCTCCATATCTGCAGTTCACTAGACACTTGGTTCCTTAGACAGCAAATAAAAAAACCCCTCTCATTTATCTTGCTTAGCAAGGCAAAGCCTGGCACAAGTCTCAGGCAGTACAAACCTTGGGGGTGGAACCAAGTGAAAACAACAAACCTGAATTGGGAACACTTGTCACTTATACAAGAATTAACCCGTATAAAGCATTTTAAATATGTTCCTTCATGTAATATCTTTTTAAAGGTAGTACAGGATTTTACTTAGTGCAAAAAGGCAACTACCAATGCTACTGAATGCTCTTGGGCATGGCAGCTTAGGATCCTTGCATAAGCCTGGAGTGTTTGAGATATATAGATATATTTTGACACTATATCCAAAAGCATCACTAATATACAGGAAGGACTGGATAAGTAGGAAAGGACACTTCATGAAATGAAACAAAACAACTTCACAGTAATTTTCTGTCCTCTGCTATTTAAAGCTTCTATGTTCATCCTGGCAGTGGCCAGAGCTCAGATTAGGATAGGCATGCCCTTGGCAGTTATACCCACTTTCCCCAATGTACTCCCCAAAGGTGTCAGCTTGGAGCCTGACCACCCTTACTAAGCACAACTGTCACAACATGGTTATGGGCAAAACTAATCCTATCATGGTATGGGCTGGCCAATGTGAATGAGACTAAAATGTATTAAAGTCCATACCAGAAACTGTTCCAGTGCAGGTAAAGACCATCCAGCCAAAACAGTTTGAAACCCTGGTTTGATATTTCAGTGTGGTGTGAACCTTCAAAGTATGCATGCTGGTCTAATCCATCACAAACTACACTTGAGCAACTCGAGTACATTTTGGTTGTTTGGATGAATTGCAAAGAGATGGGGCTTAAAACCACAGTAACAGCAGTTCTCTCCAGATACTATTAAGTTACAAACGAACTGTTCTATGACAGAGATTAAAGCCTTGTTTGCACTAGGTTTACCAGCAAAGCTCCATTTCCTTGATCAGCCTGGGCAGGGTTTCATCATGTCACTACTTTATAAACCATGAAATAGCTCAGTGGCTGGCAACCTATGGGTATAGACTGGAGTTGGCCTGCCAAGTGATCTTATCTGGCTTGCAGCTAGCAGGGGGAATCTGGAGTTGGCAAGGGAAGCAGGTGCAGAGATTGGGAGCATAGGAGAAATGGTGGCAGGGTTGAGAGCACAGGTTGCTGGGTTGGGAACACAGGGGACAAGTGTCCAGTGAGGGTGGGTGGGGAGCTGGCAAAGAGAGTGGGCAGTAAAGGGGGAACACGGAATAGGAACATACGGCTAGCAAAAGGGAGGGCGGGAAGGAAGCTGGGCAGACAGATGGCAAGAGAAAGTGGACTGCCCTAATATGGCCTGCTGCTCCTGTAAGGTTGCCAACTTCTGGAATAGATCATTCATATATGCCAAGAACCTCAGCAAAGAATCAACTTCTTATGCTTAGTTACAGCTAGAATTTTCCCCAAACCTGATGCAATAAGGGTTGAAGTGTCCTGTCAACCGACATCCAAGGACAGAAATAAATTTTGCAATGCACAAAGTGTCTCCTACTAGTTTCATTTAGAAACAGGTTCAGAAATGCTCTCCAAAGAAGATACAGATCATCTTCTAATAAAAGTAGCAACCAAAAGCACTAGTCTCTAATCTTACTTTCTGCTTTAGTGCCAGTCTTGAATATTTGTTTTTGTACTACATAGTTAGAGAACAGTTTTCCTGGATTTTTTTTTCAATGAAATCTGTTTAAGAGAATCCTACCTAGACTCAGAGAAGTGGACTTAAATGTGAAATGCATTACGTATATACCTTTTAGAAAAAGTTCTCTGAAAATGTAGAGACTATCCATATTTCAAGAGAAGAATCAGTCACAGAACTACTCTCATCTTCTGTTATGTTCCCTGTTTGATAGAAGTACAAGTAATACCTGAATCAAGCACCTAAGTTTTACTACCTTTTGTAATATAAAAGTGTGCCTGAGATTTTTTGTGCAAATAAAACTTCTCATTAAAAATATACATAGTATACTTTGGAAAAAATACCTAGCTTGACATAAAAGTTTTTTCTGTAATATGCAGTCTCCTGATTCAGTCTTCCTGACTGCACTTCCTTCTGTGTGCTTTTAACAGCCTTCAGAAAGTTTGAAAAGAAACTATTCTCTTAATATGCCACTAGCACCATTGGACTTATCCAAAAATAAAAATCCTGGCCCCAATTTCTGTTTTCAAATGGAAATAGTGTTTTCTATACAGAATTAAATTTCTGAATTGGAAACAGAGCCCTCCCCCAGAAAAAAAATAAGTTGTTCTGTATTTGTTGTTCACTAAGAAGAGGGATTTGCATCAATTATTTTTGTCTAGCACAAGACAAGTATAGCGCTAAAAGAAACAAAAGCGTCTAAATGGCCCATTATGACCACTACACATTGCTAAAATAATCCCATTAATGTGGAAAAAATGAAAAAAAACATTAAACACATTATGTCCTCAGACACCAGCTTAAAGGTACAAATAGCAATAAATGTCTGTTTTTTCCTTTTGTTCAAACTACTAAGATGCATGAAGGACCTCAAGGCTTGGCTTTGGTTTTCTTTCCTTTGCTCTTTTTCCAATACTTTCTTCTTCAAATCTTTATGTGCGTGTGCACACCTCTTCCTCAACTCCTCTACTTTCCCCTCTCCTATACCTTTCGACATGCACATGCCTTCTGCAGCTGTTACATATCAATCCATGCCTATAATCAGATATGTATTTTTTATATATCCTCTCTCTTGCTAAAAGTCTGTCACTTTTGGGTAAATCAGTCTTCCTTCAAGATGCCCATTTTTGATGAGGATGTGCAAGCTGGAGCTGCAAGTGCCCCAATCATGACTGGAAGACTCTGATTCCTTCTCAGTACTCCCATTAAGTTGCTACCTGCACTTAAGAAGACAGCAGAGTCTTGCTTTCTCAGGCCAATTTCTGGCCCTTCATTTTTTCCATTGACCCCTGCCTCAGGGGGTTTAACTGCTCTAGCAATACCCAACCTCTTCAACCTTTCCACCAGGCTCATCTTCAGTTGGCCTACATCAGGAGGGTTATGAGCTGGTTTCAGGCCATACATCTCCTGCAAAAATGTTTCAGCTGGTCGAGATGCTAGGAAATTTTCAGAGAGATGTGCTCGAGACTCAAATGGCAAGGGGGAAAGATGCGGTGAATGAGAAGGAGAATTTGGTGGAGTGGAAGGAATGGGAAGGGTTTGTGGGGGCTGTAGCAGAGGCAGTTGTTCTGAGACGGGATTATCATGAGCTTTGGCAGAAATGCCTCGTTCTTGCAGGAGTTTAGCCAGACTGCTAGTGCTGCTGAAGGTGGTAGCAGAGTCTCTCCTCTTGGTGAGAAATTCTCCAATACTCAGTCTGTAAGACATGGCTGGAGAGCTGACCATTGTGTTGACAGTACTGCTGCCACTATTTCCAAGTGACAACGGTACGTACGTGGAACTGAAACACACGAAGTATCATTATTATTGCACTTGCCTCTGGCATCTTTCACATAACACAGAGAAAAACAATTTAAAAAAAATAAACAAAGCATGTATTCAGTGCAACTATAATAATAGCATCACTTAAGATATTCAGAAATATAAATCAAACAAAACCCAAAACACTGGAGGACCCAAACTGAGAAGAAAATTATGCAATGGTTTAGAAAGGTAGCAAACTGACATATCAATAGGTAAGTTTTACATCAACTTATCAAATCTTAAAGGACCCAATATAACCTGACTATGGGAGTTCTTAGAGTCTAGCAATTTTGTGTGTGTGTGTGTGTATTAAAAAAAAAAAAAAAAATCTAACTCAACGCTTCATAAAGCATCACCAGATTTTAATTTGGAATGGGGTGCTGTTTTCTAGAATACCAATTTATTGGGTGGAATAAGCAGAAAGTTTCAGACCAGACCCAGACTTTTTGTAGAAGAGCTCAGTGAGTTCACACAGGGTTTACTACATCATATTAGAAAAGACAACAGCACCCTAAATAGTATTTAATTTACAAGAATATCAGGCAACCAAATCTATGATCCATCAGGCAGCCCATCTCTATCAAGTTGTAAATAATACTAAAAGCCAAAGGTGGCCATCTTTCACTATATACCCAGAAGTATAAAGTGTGATCATCTCCCTGTATTAGACTGAATATTTACACAGGTAGCCAGAAGATGGTAACTAGTTTTTATTTAAAAAGTGAATCAAACTGTTTTACTAACTTTACCACAATAGTGAATTACATAATTTATATTTCCATTTAGCAGTCCAAATCTGGTGATATCAAAACCACCTTTGTTCATTTTATGAGACAGTTATGGAAATCAAAAGGTCAATTGTCACTGTCTTTCACTCTTATCATTACTGGGAAATTCTGGTACCCTTATTTTTTCCTAGACCTCTCCATATCTGAAGTTCAATTCCACATAGTAATGGCTTGATTCATACCTGGGGGTAACCTGAGTTATGTCAGAGGGGTGAAGGATCCTACATGTAGTGAAGGTGAAGGTGGAGTTAGTAGAGGAGAGACACTTCCCCGGGTTTGAGGCTGCAATGTAGAAAAAGTCGTATCAAATGAAGGAAGAAAAAGAAAGGAAAGGGAAAAAAGATTTACGGCAAGATACCATTAGTATTGGATTTGTTTTTCAAGTTAAAAGGGAAGTCCGCCAAGGACAAACACATTCAATTTAAAAGTTACTCATGTTGGTTAATTTAAAGAAGCTTCTGATCCCTCGCTTTGGAGCTTTTTGTTACAAGATGACTTGAAATTAGGACTACTCAATATTTAGTGGCTGCTGCTTTAACTTGCTTCACTTTACTCTGAGTAGGTCCTGAACATAGGCAGTATTACATAGTGTTGTGTGTACAAGACCGAGCGTGGAACCTGGGCACATTCCCAATTCTGACAAGCCTCCTTCGGCATCACAATACAAGTGATCGAGTCTCAGTTTTAAGTGTCAAACTGAGATAGAAATATTAATGCACCTCAGGTATGGCAAGAACTAATCAGTGTTTGTAAGGTGCTTGGAAGATGGAAGCAAAAGAAATAATTACATTAGTCATTCTGAAGGGTGCTTGAGTTAACATTTTCTAACTGCTGTCCTCTGAGACTTCAAGGAAAAACAGATTTGAGAGGAATCTCTATGAACAAAATACATTCTAACATAAAATTGAGCCCTGCAAAGTGGTTTATAGGATCAGAGATCCAGAATTTTTCAATGAAAAAAAATGTATTTTTCAATGCTCCAAAAGACATAGAAATTACGGACTTCTAGCAGAAAAAGGAGAGCTTCCATATAACAAGTTTTGATTTTTGAATAAAACACTTTAATTACTTTAAAATAATATATATTTATGTGTATATATGTACACACACACAAACACACACTTCTAAAAAAAAATATAAATATATATAATACAGGGAGGGGTTATCAACTGGGGGTACGTGGACTCCTGGGGGTAACTGGAAAGGCCTCAAGGGGTACATGTGGGTGGGTGGGGACAGAGTGCCACTGCCTCCCAGAAGCAGGAGCGGGGAGAGGGCAGTGGCACCCTTCTGTGGGCCACACAGGCACCACCCAGCCAGCCAGATGCAGGGGGGGGGAGAGAAGCTTGCATGTGGCAGCCACCACCGCCATCTACCACCCTGTGTTGCTGCTGCTCCACATGCAGCCGCCGCTAGCCCCTGCTCCATGTCCAGCTGCCAGGAGTACACTTGAAAAAGGCTGAAAACCCATGATGTTATATATAACACTTTATAATATGGATGTTTTCTTTGGAAGAAGATAATTGTTCAAGAGATTGTTTTTTGGTCTCACCCAACAAAAGATTTCCAGCAGCACAGTGCTACCTAGCTGTACAGACTGGAAAGGCAAGTACCATCTCCTGATTTAACAGCATTATAAATGCAGTTCTTAGGGGATCCTTGGAAGCCTCCCTCTCCAAACACAACCTGGCTTACCTCTACGGAGCCAATAAAATCTGAAGAAATTATTAAAAAAAAAGACCATAACAAGAAAGCAACAGAAGTGGTGTGATAACTCCAGCAAGAGATCAAAGATATCATAATATTATCTATTATTCTTACCAGTGAGTGGCATTGGTGCCGAAGTAATAGATGGCAGAAAGATCCCTGACACAGGCTTTGGCACTGGACACGTCCTTTCCTTCAAAAAGGATTGTTGCACTTGAAAAGTTATACCTCCTTCCCCTTCTTCCTCATCATCCTCTTCCAAGTCAGAGATGTGGTAGACAACATCCTCAGGCAGGAGAGTGAAGCCTTTTGTGACAACACCAGGCCTTGGGTCAAGGATGGTGCCTAAGTTGGGTTGAGCAAGTTGTTGCCAGTGAAACAAGGTCTGAGATCCTAATGAGTCAAAAAAACCAAAAAAAAAACCACCAGTCTGAAGCAGTCTCTTATCACTATGCCATACAGAGTATTTGAAATATACTGCCAAAACTACCTGGCCAATACTGCTGCTATCATGAATACAAGGGGAATTAGGTGGATAAAAGAATTAAAACTGGGAATATCAAATACTAGAACAAACCTGCCACTGCATTTGGGTCTTCTGAGCTAGTTAGGTGGAAACCTTTTAGCAGGTGTCTGCCTTAAGAAAAAACTCATTCTCCAAGTGCTTCCAATTCTGCAGTGCAAAAAATCAACACCCAGATGCAAAAACATCAATGTGCAGAGAAACACTGGTTTAATTGTTAAATGCAGCCATTTCTGTAAAAGTCCAGCTCTGTGAACATTATCATTTGTTGGAGACTGAATGTAAATCATTCTCTTACCTTCAAGAGGTTTGACAATTTGTAGTTTCTCTGGTATGAACATACGGAGGCTGCTAGAGCTCCCAGAAAAGTCCATGAGTTCTGAGTTTGTCCCCAAGGAAAGGGAACTCTCCGTTGGTGTGCTGCAACCGCTACTCTCTTCTTTCTGGTCAACCAGTGAACGCATCTTGCGCTGCCATTCCTCCTCAAAGAACTGCTTTTCACTCAGGTAGTTCTGCCGACGAAGGGAGAGTCTATGCAGAGCTGTAGTTAAATCGTTATCTGCCAGGGTTCCAGGCTGGCCCAGTTTTGGGGTATCCCTGTGGGGAACATGAAATTAGGCAAGAGAATTAAGACAAATATGGTCATTACTAAAGGGCAGTATTCCCCTTCCGTATAACAGAGGTCTTGGTTAGATTTAAATTTTGGAGTCAGAATGATAATTCCTATGCGTGTGTTATCACAGATAATCTAAAATTATATCATCCTTTTTCTTACTTCTCGATTTCTTCCAAATTGCTCCTTCTGGCCAGCTGTATCTTGCTCTCCAACTGATGTAAGCCAGATTGAAAGGGTTTTGCTGTCATAACAACACTTGAACGATTAGATCCTGGGATTGGTAGTGGGGCAGGAAAGGAGAAAGAGCGACCACGTGTGACATTAGCAACTTTAACAGTATCAAATACCCGCTTTTGCTGAACCCTGAAAGACAGAAAATACATACGCATAACAACTTTTACATCTACACAACACTGAACTGACCAATCACCAATACTATTACTCTCTAAAGGAATTTTGGGAAGGTTACAACAATCAGTTTTAGGCAACAGTTTATTAAAAGACTTATGTGAATGTGGTAGATAAGGGTCAGCAACCTTTCAGCAACAGCAGGCTGAATTAACAAAGCTTGGTTCTAAGGTGGGCCACCATCTATTGCTGCCAAGTTCCCATACTAGTACCATCTCAACTTGATGGACTGGATAAACTTTTCTGTAACCCGTATTTGGCCCACAGGCTACAAAAGTTGCTGACCCTTGTAGTAGAAGCCTCTCCTAGAGATGCAACTACCAGAAAGGCAGAAGAACCTGCCTGTAGTTGAAAAGATTATTAGGAGGGATGTACTCCTGTCAAAGACTGCAATTTCCACCTTGTATGGACTTGAAGGAACAATAGATTGTGATACTCGTATTGCCCTGGAACCTCCAAGATCAAGAACATTTTAAGAGCCTAAACCTATAGTCCCTACATATGGAAACAGGCCTCCAAGGTACTGAAAACTGGTATTCATCTTTCAGCTCTAGTTTCCCCTCTATAGAATATAGAGTAAGGATGAAACCACATACAATACAGAAGCTATTTTATAAGCCTTCAAAAGTTTAATATAAAAAAATATTCTTTCAGTGAACTTTTTAATGCTCCCATAAAACTCCATAGTAAAGATACATATTTTACCTCTATGAAAATATACAGAATTGTTTAAAAGTGTCCATGCTTGAAGTCTATTTTCTATTAGTGATATTGATTTTTTGTTCAAGGACGAGTATCCAGGTTTATCCTCTCCTAACAAACTTTTGCACCTCATTTACAGACTTAAAACTCCTGGTATTGGCACATGTACATCCTGTTTTGTTCCATGTGAAGCAGAATGCTCAACTTACTTTTGTTTAGAAAGGGCAGATTCTTCATCCACATTCAGCTCCTTACGCATTGTCCCCTCAATCTCTGCTGCAAGAGATTCCTGAAGGGGAGAGGAAAGAAAGAAGGGAGTAAGGGGAGGGACAGCCAAAAGGGTTCTGAGCAATTTTGGAACTAAACATTCTTTAAAAAAAAAAAAAGCTCTATTTTTCACCCATACATTACTAACTGATATCAGTACAAGATATACACTGTATAGCTGTAACAGCAAACCTGCATAGAAAAATTCAGGTTATTAGCTAAAAATGATTGTATTGGGGTAACACACCGGTTCCATTAAAAACAACACTGATGGTGTAACTGTTAAGTGTTGTGACTGTCTAGGGGAGGGGCAATATCCCTGCAAGAGAAAAAACCCTTAATCAACATTAGGCTCAGGGTTTTCTCACTGCTACTTCACTACAGAATAAATCTTTCTGTTAAAACTGGCAGCATTTTCCTCTACATCTTCTTGAGTGGAATTACTGTGATCTGCCATTTTCTAAGAACAATCATTTAAAAGTACATTCCACCATGTTTCACTGGGGCTTCTCAGTATAGCACGCTAGCAATTTAATCACTGGAAAAAACAGCTAGATGCAGAGAAGTCCAGTTCATAAAATACTTGTTAAAAAATTAAAATCCTGCAAAGCATTCTCATGGCATCATAATCAGCCTGGTACAAAACTTAGCTAAATTTATGCAGAGAAATGGTGAGGGAGTGAAAAAAGAAAAGGCAGCATCAATGCATGCGAAACCAAATCAGCAATGGGAATGTAGGAGACAGAGAAGGACATTTTAAAAGCCATTATACAGTGAATGAATGACTCAAGATGTGTATATGCTAAAGATAATTTCAGATTTTAGAAAAAGTTGGAAAGTTATTAGATTGAATTAATCCTTTTGCCACCTAAAGAATAGTTTCTCTTGTAGTTCTAATAACAAAAATAGGCAATTGCAGTTTGGTCCTTGTAGTTTCATATTACCAAAAACTGTTGTTACAGCCTTATGCTGCATCAGTATGAATACACAATGCAAGAAGAAACCCCTGGATTATTACCGCAGGAAACGTTCCGCATGAGTGGGGTCGGCAAAGAGAAGCAGAGCTGGATTTGCTGCGCAGATACTTCACTTCTTCTTGCGATTCATGCAACATCCCCAGACACTCTGCATTCCGATCTTGTAACTCATGCAACTTTAACAGGAAACAAAAGTTATCAATATATCCAGCAACACTTTACAGTCAAGAGATGCAAGGCCATTATTACAATGACAACCTGCATTTACCCATCAGAAATCTATATAATTAAGAATTATTGCAACCCAGTAATTTTCCACACAAAGTAGAATACAGAAACAAGTAGCTGCAACCCTGTCAAGGTATTCTAGGAGTATTCACATTTATGTGATATCTACATGAGTGTGACTCATCAGAATGACTGGACTGAGTTATTAAAAAATAATCTGTTCTCCTGCATTCATTTGGCTCTGTCCACACTAGGATATAACAACACAACCCCCCTTTCTCTCTTCATTTCTCTTTTTCTCTCACCCTATTTTAAAAAATAAATAAGTCTCTAATACCTCTGCTGTCAGCTGCCTCTGGGCATCTTTAGAAGCTTGCAGGTGAAGCTTCAGTTCTTCTTTTTCAATTACATGCTGAAAGCAGAAGAGAAAAAAAAAGAAAAAACCCAAGAGTGTTCATATATTTTCTCTTTTACTTCTAGTGAGTGGAGTATCAGCTGAAATAACCATCCTCTTAAAGCTGTAACATCTATCCTGTTACCCCTGTCCATACTGTATGTACACACCTCTTTGAGTTTATGTTGAAGGTCAACAATCTGAGACAAAAGGGATGAGATCTCTTCCTGGTAGCGAACCAACTCCTCACTCTTTTCTGATAGCTCCTCTGTCATTCTAGCAATATGAACATTTGTTTCTCCTAAAACACAGAACAGTAAGTCTTCAGTATGCCACATTCCTAGAAACACCAAAAATAAAAATTCCCCAGCAAAAAGTGAACATATAAGCTTCAAAGGGAAAGTAATTCTGAGAGAACCAACTCAGGCCTTAGATCAAGCACAGGCTAGGACACTTGCGAAAACTTATGAAACTTAAATATCCTGGATGACCCCTTACACCTAGTGCTGACATCCCACTGGTATATGGGTACCTAACAGTTCTGCAGGAATCACCATATCTACAATAAGTTGTTAGTTTTTCCTAAATGAAATAACTACCCATGCAAGTCCACTTTGCTGTTATAACAACTAGAATAAAGCATTAAACAACAATTAAGTAAAAACACTTTGAAAATACATGTTATTAAAATGAATTGTGGTAAATATTACTGGTCTCGAGATGCTGAAGGGAAGAAACAGGTGTCCAAGACCCAGTGATACACAATCCCATGTAGCTCAACCACTTATCCAGATCTGGATATAAGAGTAGAGGAATCATGAGCCATCTTAAGGCATCCAAGACCAAGAAGGGGAAAGAAGTACAAGTAGCCCCCATCATAGGGATGATTTTAGTGCATATAAAAGGTTCCTAGCATCAGATTTATGATTCTGTTTTTGGAAAATTAAGGATGATGTATTAATAGATTTAAGCCATTGGAAATAAGCTTAAATTTCTAGAGTTAGGATTCAAAATAATGTGGTAAGAAAGAGTAAAACTCCTGACACACTTTTTCTATGTCATCTATATTGATTATAAATTCTTTGGGAATAAAATCATTTTATGAGTCTAAAGTTCCCAGCACGCCTTTGTGAACTATAAAACTAGACAAACAAGCAAATACATTCCTCTTATAGGTGGTACAGTGGAAAGGTTATGCAAGACAACTTCCACCAACTTCCTCTCACTGTAAACACATAGCTTCAAGGAGGATGCAATAAAGCAAGTAAACACTCAAACAGGCACTGATCCAGAGTACTATACTGCTATACAGAATAAAATGCAAATCATCAAGTTTTTTTACGGTGATTACACGGAATAAAATAATCTCATAAGATAAGCACTTGTTTGTAGTGCATAGGCAAGGAGGCATGCACCACATCAGTACAAGTAGAAGTTAAAAACCACTAGGTTACACACAACAAAGACATCAAATATGTTCTTTTGTATTCCACGCCCTTATGTGCACATCTGTGTAAGGTAGTTATACTTGCAGATAGGTAACCTACAAAGAATAAAGGCATTACTGTTACAGACATAGAGACTTTATTCCAGCTGCTGCTGCTTTTAAGTCTACTATGCATTTATGTAATGGGAGCTATGCTCATGGATCCAGGATGTTTAGAATGGGTACCCAAGAGGCCAAGTACTGATCAACTGAACACTGTCGAAAACAGATGTAAAATCTACTATTCAGAACGACAAGCATGTCATTCTCAGACACCACCTTAACAGCTTTTATGAGCATTATTAGGCTTAGCTCTCTTTTTAAGATCACAGATCTCTGACAAGCATTCAGTCCGTATTGAATACACACATTTTTATTTTTTGACAGAATTCTGTGTCATGATGAAGACTGTAGAAATAAATGTCCCTGAGTCAAATATCACCCTGAATGGGCCAAAACAGCAAGACTCAAAACATTATTAAATAGCAACTTCTGAAAATAATTTCTAAACTTGAAGACCATAAATATACATATAGATTTATCCATGTGTGAGCATATAAATACATTTTTGTATACTGCTAGATCTCTAGAAGTACTGTAGAAACTGGGGAGAGGTGTTTGCTTCTATTAGGAGATACAACCTGGATACTCACGGAGCTCTTTAACACAGTCGCTGACTAGTTGCTGCTCCTTTTCTTCATATGTAATAGTTTCTGTCTTTAAATGGCAAGCCTTCAAGAAAATTATAGAGGTTTAAACTTGCAGATACCTGCACCTGAAATAATTTACTATTACAAAGATTATTGCAATTAGAAGTTTTCTACCTTATTTTTCTTGTGTAACTAACATTAGCTGAGTTTGTTTTACTAAAGCCATGTTTCCTTACCTGTATGCACCTTGCACACAGTAGAAGAGTGGCTATTTAAAAATAATGGGCAAGTTGTTGTCAAAAGGCACAAACCATGTTAGGGGAACTTAGGAATAGATGCAGCAATTACAACTAGGCTACTTGAGAATTTACTACTCATACAAATATGTTTTCTAAGAAGGAACCCTTAGTCTGCCAACTGAATGGTAAGCTACCTATAGCTATGAAAGCCACATAAGCTTTGAAATGCTCATGAAACAGGCAAGAATATTTCCCTCTGTCCCTCCAATCCTTCATCTGGCTTGTCATTTAGCTTGACTGCAAGCTCTCTTGGGTCAACAATTTTCTCCTGCTACAGAATCTGTATGGCATGGGCTCTCCCCTTTCACTTGTGGTATCCTAGGTGCTTTCAAATAAATATAAAATCATCAACCGTGACCTCTTTTTACCCAATAACCTTTCATTTGGTGCAATTTGCTGGTACTTGGTGATGACTTAATCAGAAAGGGACCAGCTGGCAAAATAATGTTAAGGGGCAACCAGCATGGGTTCATAGCCGGCAGATCCTGCCCGACAAACCTGGTTTCTTTTTACGACTGGGTCACAAAATGCTTGGATAAAGGAATACAGGTAGATTGTTATTTCTTTGATTTTAAAAAGGCCTCTGACACAGTGTTGCACCCAATTCTTATAAATAAACTAAACAGTTGCAATGTAGATAATTACACAGTCTGGTGGGTGGAAAATTGGCTTATGGGAGGCACCCAGAGAGTGGTGGTGGATGGGTCAGTTTCTACTTGGAGAAATGTGGGCAGTAGAGTCCCCCAAGACTCTGTCCTGGGACCAGTACTGTTCAATATCTTCATTAGTGACTTCGATGTGGAGTAGAAAGCACTCTGTCCAAGTTTTCAGATGACACCAAACTATGTGGGGAGGTAAACAAATTGGAGGGCAGGGAGCAAATCCAGGTGGACTTGGACAGGCTGGGGAAGTGGCCGGAACAGAATAGGATGCAGTTTAACAAAGATAAGTGTCACGTGTTGCACCTGGGGAGGAAGAATCCTCAACACTCCTATAGCCTGGAAGGTACCACTCTAAGTAGCACAACTGCGGAAAGGGATCCTGAAGCTGTAGTCGACTTCAAAATGAACATGAGTCACCAGTGTGAGGAGTTAATAAGTAAAGCTAACTGTACCCTTTCTTGCATAAGTAGGTGCATCATAAACAGGTCTAGGGAGGTGATACTTCCCCTCTATGCAGCACTGGTCAGGCCATAGCTGGAGTACTGTGTCCAGTTTTGGGTGCCACACTTCAGGAGGGATGTAGATAACCTGGAAAGGGTTCATAGGAGGGCCACCCGTCTGCTTAAAGGCCTACAGAAAAAAAACCCTACAAGGACTGATTGAGGGACCTGAATCTCTTCAGCCAAGGCAAGAGAAGGCTGAGGGGTTATCTTGTGGCCATCTACAAACTCATCAGGGGGGACAGCAGGAAACAGGGGATATGATGTTTACCAGGGCGCCCATTGGGGTAACTAGAAATAATGGTCACAAACTGAAGGACAGCAAATTTAGACTGGACATCAGGAAAAAATTATTTACAGTGAGGGTTGCCAAAATATGAAATACACTTCCAAGGGAGGTGGTGGTCCCCTTCCTTGGAGGTATTTAAGAGGAGATGGAACAAACACCTGGCTGGGGTCATCTGACACCAGCACTCATTCCTGCCCAGGGCAGGGGGGCAGTCTTTCCTGTCCAGGGCAGAGGCGCAGACTCTGTGATCTAATAGGTCCCTTCCAACCCTAAAATCTATGAAAGTTCAGTGACTGGTGTTAAAAATTTATTTCAGTGGAAAGAACTGCAGATAAACACGCTTTAAATAGCCCTTGACAGTTCACATGCAATTAGGCCAATCAACCCGTTCTATATGCCTGTTGCTTTTTAATACAAACAGGGGAAGTCATGTAACAAACCACAATAAAGCTATAACACAGCCTCAGTTAAAGGGCCCTTCCATACTGGCAGGGCAAGAATTTTTTTTTTTTTTTTTTTTTTTAAATTGTAGATGGGGGCTGGAAAAAAACCCACTAAGGTTGTCTGACACTCACTGTGAGTTAGTTATTTCATCAAACTTTAGCTACTTAGGTTGTAATTTTCCACGTTGGATGTCTGCCTCTGGTTGAACTTTTTTGGAATAATTTCTGCCAAAAAATGGTCTAGTGGCTTTAGAAAAAACAGGCTAGAGAAAAATATTATTTTGCTCACTAAAAAAAAGAAAAAAAAATACTGATCATGTTTTCTTGGAGAAGCATTAGCACTTCTATGCTTTGGAGCAGAAAGATCGCCATAGAGGCATATCCGATACAAAAGACTTCTAAGAAATCTGTCCAAATCTGCCCAAATCTGTCCAATTTATAAATCACTGAATAATCTCAGTGTGCATATGCTCTGTACAGATACATAATGCTTATCTATAATTCCCAGTAGATCCTTGTCCAGGGTGGGAATGCTCCAGCTCAGTATTAAGAAAGACTTTCCTCCAGTTGCAGCTGTGGACTGCTGCAGAACATGCAGGATACTTAAACTAAGTGCAGGAAGTGGATCTCTCCAATGTTTTTATCTGCAACCTGCTGGATCCAAGTACACAAAGAAAGAAAATACCTGCTACAAGTGGTGAGTGCATATGGACCATCTTGAGAGGTAAGGGTAGCAGACTGGGATGATGCCTGGAGGACAGGTGGAGTGGCATTGGGAAAGGGAAGTTTGAAAAAGCGGAACTGGAACTAGCTGCTCTCAGATGTGTGCTGATGACACTGGGGTCACTACCTATGAACCCCAGGTCTTGCAGTAGCACACACCAATGAATTATGGGTGCCAGATAATTTAGAGCAGGGAGCAGTCATAATCAGAAAGAAAACATCCCTACAGCTTTGAAGCCCGATGAACCACAACCACAGGCTGTTGTTCTTTTCCATCTAATTTTTATTCAAGAAAACCAGTTGAAGAGGAGGAGGATTGAAAAAAAATGGGAGGCGGCAAGGGAAAGATGTGGCTAAAAAAAAAGGAAAAAGGTCTGTATTCCAATATATCCCCTTCTACCTCCAAATTCTAGCTTGCATCATAGGACCAATATTTTAGTCCCAAAACAGCTGCTGTAACATGCAACTTAAGCCTAATACTGACTGAGGCTTTTTATAGGATATAAAGTGTTTTTAAATCCAGGGTTTGAGGCAGTTTGGTATTTAGAAGTCACGCTACATACTTCCAAACCTGAGATATGAAAGTTCCATTTCCTTGAGCTACTCAGAATCACTTGTCAAAAACCAAATGTCTGACACAGACCTTTAAACTGCGAGGCATCTCACAGGAATGAGCATCTCACACAGCAGGTGGGAGAACTTTAAGGAAGTGGGACCAATTTAATTTTGATTCCTTGTTTCAACATTATCTGTATATATAGATCTAGATTTATAGATCTTATTTAGTCTATAAAGGTGCATATCTACCCTGTTTTTCAAAATTTTTAATGCCATTCACTTACAGTAGTAAGCAATGAGAGCAGTAGATCTGTACAGCACAAAGCTAATTACTGTATATATACAAATGAATGGAGTCCCTTACAGGGAGGCACTGTTGACAGTTTTGTAGATAACTCTGGTTGCAATGCTCTGCAGTCACATATAGTAGAAAAATGCTCAAGCCCATCAGAAGCTTTTGAACTACAGAGAGACTGATAACTCTCATGATGGAAGGTTATAATGGAGCACACAAAACTGTGTAACCCTTAAATAGGTTAATCATAAATAAGTATCTGTACATCTTATTTCCTGTAGCCCTTATATTTTGGTTCCACAAACACCATTGTGCACTAAGAGTTTCATTAAACTCTAGTTCCAGACCACATAAAAACATACTATTTATATCTACAGATTGGATATTTGTGTGTTAGATCTGAAACACAAATGTTCTTATTTAAATTCATAGTGCTACTCTGTGCACATGGAGTTTAAAAGATTGGGCTCTTAGCTTATAAACTCCTCATCTAGAGGACAAGCTGACAAGCTGTAACTTTTTAATCGTGTTGGCTCATTTGTATCATCAAAAAAGTATACCAACTTGAATATGGGTTTAGATAATTATGTGCCATGCAAATCATAAGGTCCTACAGGCCTAGGTAATTTTAGGTAGATAGCTAAATGTGAACTCATTTAACATCATTAGCTATAAGGACACTGTGGTGCAGTTGGATGAAGCCACTATATAAGCTGGGTATTATGAACTTTGAAGATAACTATGGACAAAGCGAGAAGTCTGAAGAGCTGGGACCTACGTCCATATTAGGTGCAGAGATCACTCATAATCCTATATTTTTATGACATGAAATAAACAGTTTGCTGTATACAGTAGAAGTTATGCATACCTTTGATCGGAGAGCTAAGTTCTCCTCCTCCAGTTCCTTGAGTTTATCCTGCAAAATATCCAACTGCAAGAGACCATGTGACACACTGAAGGACTCATTGAACCGAAGTGGAGTTGAGCAACTGGAGTCCGTCTCGCTTTCCTCGGAAGCAATTGAGACGATACGAAGCAATTCATCTTTCTTTGATAGTTCATGTTGCAACTGGTTAACCTATGTTCAAGAAATGCATTTGTTTACAAAAAGATTCAGCCTCCAAATTCCTCAGTTCAGTTTAAACTGTGGTAACCCCCTGAAAACTGTGCCCAGGATATCTATTTAACACTGTAAGCTCAGATTCTGTTTAGTCTTGAAAACTGACTGCTGTAGAACTAGTTAAACTATTTTTAAAGGTGTCTGAAGCAGACCATGCAAGAGTAGACAATGAAACCCATTTTACAGTAAAATGGAGTATGATTAGTTTTTCCCATTATTGATACCTTGACAGGCAAAGTGCACCTGAAAGGCATTATCTGTTTGTCAGGAAAAAAGAGGGGTGGAGGGTTCTGCCTTTGAAAAATGTATTTGATTCAATGTATAAGTCAAGGAGAAGAGAAAACAAAAGATGCTCAGATGCTGAAAGTTAAGTATGATTTACTTTGCAAATCTAAGTGCTGATGCAAGTACACAAACCCACTTTTGGTCTGGCCAGGTGTGAACTCACATTTTAGATCAGCATGCTAGTTTACATGTGCAACTGCGAGCATTTAACTGAAAAAAAAAATCTAGATTTGGAATGCACTTGTCATGGAAGCAAGAGGGAAACTTTATAGTTGATAGGCTGCCAACATAGTTTCATACTTTATTAGTTTCTCTAAAATGGTAACAAAGGTAAAATCAATTTGAACAGAGCAGGGGGGAAAAAAGGTAACAATGCTGAATAAGGAAAAAGGTGGATTTGTGCTCAAAACCTAATGAAGCGAGACTCTAGAACAGAACCCAGGCCTCATGTCAGGCTTCTTGTGCAAGGTAAAGCAGATCAGTTAATCTCTGTGGTAGTTTCCTCATTTGTAAAATGGTGATAGTGCCTCAAAAGAATCAGAAGCTGAATTCTTTGCTCAAAGTTCAATAAACTCCTTGGATTTATGCATAATAAGGCCAGGAGGTTAGATCAGATGATCTGAAGTGGTCCCCCTCCTGAAAGCACAATTTATTTAGAACACACCAAGCTACCATTAGATTCCCTTCAATGACCGCACTATTCAATTCTCATAGCTATTCACTGGAATAATGCACCTAATAACTAGAATACATTCAAATGCATATTTTAATCAATCTTTAGAATAGGTGCAGTTACCTGCCTCTATTGTAATAAAAACCCTTCTGCCTCATCTACTAAAACAGATGTCCCTCATCTTGCCATGTTCAAAAAAGTCACTCACTTGGTCTAAGGTTTGTCCTAGCTGCTCTTCTAATGCTTCGTTCTGTTCTGTCAGGAGATGGTTCCGCTTAAGAAGAGCTTGTCCAATCCGGGCTGCGAGCTCCAGGTCCCGATCCCTCTGCTCACAAAGAGAAACATTTTTGTTTTTAAAGACTAAATTCAAAATGTAGCCAAATAAAAATTTCTTCAATATATTATCTAGCTCTTGATATCCTGCAATCCATTTTAAACAGTAAACTGTTAAAGCAATGCTTGTTAGAGCAAATGGTTTTCAACGCTTTACTGTTTGAGATGTAGAGTACAATAGTGGCCCCAGTTTCAACCACTTGGACAGCCCTAAGTCATGGGCACAAAGGAAAACTGATTATAAGGCTGGACTTTTTATTTTGGGGGTAAGTGGCTTGATTTGGGGTGGTACAAGTTCTGTTGAAGGACCATTTTGAGAATCTGTATGCAGCCTTTTGTAGTGCTGTTTCCACCAGAACAGACTGTTGTACTGCAATGAAACAGGGGTGCTGGGAGGACA